ATCGCCGGAGATATACACACGATTAGACGGGACATGAAGGCACTTATACCCTTTGTGAATAGAACTGTACCCCAGAAAGACACACTTCTTTGATCGGAACTCAAGCTTGCGATTATTATACGGACGGAGATGCGGCCAACACACACAACCGAACACTTTAAGAAACGTGTAATCAGGAGTCTGACCAAGCAAGAGTTCAAGTGGAGTTTTCATATGAAGGAGCCGTGAAGGAAGCCTATTTATAAGAAAACAGGCTGTAGTAAAAGCATCGCTCCAAAAACGAAACGGGACAGAGGCATGAGCAAGCAAGGTTAACCCAGTTTCAACAATATGACAGCGGTTACGTTCAGCTGAACCATTCTGCTGATGTGTATGTGGGCAAGAAACACGATGAGCAATTCCAAGTTTTTCAAAGAAAGTACTGAGGTTGCGGTATTCACCCCCCCCCCTAGTCTGACTGGACGCGAATGATTTTATGATCTAGGAGTCTCTCAACATGTGCTTGAAATTGTAAAAACACATTAAACACATCAGACTTATGCTTAAGAAGATAAATCCAGGTAAAGCGACTATAAGCATCAATGAAGCTGACATAATATTCGTGCCCACTAACGGACAACTGGGCAGGACCCCATACATCTGAAAACACAAGCTCAAGAGGAGTTTTGACTATATGTGTAGAAACAGAAAAAGGTAGTTGATGACTCTTGCCCTGCTGGCAGGCATCATAGACAGCGGCATCTTTATTACTAGACTCGGACGGTAGCTCATGACGATGGAGGACATGGCGAACAATGGGAGATGTTGGGTGACCAAGACGAGAGTGCCATAGTGATGGAGACACACGAACGCCACTGAAGACTTGGAAGGCAGCAGCAGGAGCAGGAACGTTGGTGGGGGCATCAAGAGCATAGAGACCATGGCGGTAGCGACCTCTAAGAAGTATGTTCCTCGTAGCACGATCCTTAACAAAGAGATGAAACGGATGAAACTCACAGAAAACATTATTATCCTGTGTAAGTTTAGGAACAGAGAGTAAATTACGTGCAACTGTGGGAACACGAAGAACATTTCTAAGATGCAATGTCCTAGAGGAGTTTGTGAGAAGTGATGCCTGACCAACATGCGAAATGTGCATACCTGCCCCGTTAGCTATGTGAACCTTGTCATGCCCACGGTAAGGCTGCTGGACAGTTAGCTTGCCCAGCTCGTTCGTTACGTGCGTGGTTGCTCCAGTATCCATGTACCAAGAAGGATCAACAGGATAAGAAGGGGTGTGACCCTGTTGCGCCATGTTAACTTGACGCTCGTTGCCCTTGCCATTATTGTCGAGGCCAAGGAAGTCCGTCTTGAACCGGCGATGACAGCGAGAGGCGACATGGCGAGGCAGGCCACAGAGCTGACATGGCTGAGCCGCACCACAGGCGGTACAGCAGGCGCAGGCGCGGCCGTCAACGACGACTACCGGGGCACCAGGACGCAGGGCCTGCTGCTGTTGTGCCGAGGACGCACCTCCACCGGACTTGCCCCCTCCTCCCGAGGAAGCTGCAGAGGGGCACGGCCACCGCCTTTGCCGTGGTACACAGCGTTGACGGAGGAGTCGATGGAGACGTCGGGGCGGCGTGCGTTGAGCCGTTGCTCCGTTGACAAGAGACGGCTGTAGAGTTCCTGAGGACGAAGAGGCTCCTTGCGTTCATTAATCACCTCGGCAAGCGAGTAGTAGTCGCTGTCGAGGCCGGCTAGGATGAAGGATGTGAACTCGCTGTCACGAAGGGGCTCTCCAATGGAAGCAAGAGTGTCAGCCAACTTCTTGATCTTGTTGTAGAAGGTGGTCACCGTACCATTGTCCTTGCGAGTTTCACCAAGCTTGGCACGGATGGCCATGGATTGAGCAGTAGACTGAGACGAGAAACTCGACTCCAGTATGTCCCACACCTCATGAGAGGACGAAGCAAAGAGGACGAGCCCGGCCACACCCTCACCCAGAGAAGACTGGATGGCTGAGAGGATGGCTTGGTCCTGAGCGATCCACGCACGGAACATCGGATGATGTGGCAGTGGACATGGCAGTGTACCGTTGAGGAACCCCTCCAAGTAATGGATGCGAAGGAGAGGAAGCACCTGAGCACGCCAATATAGATAATTGTCCGGTTTAAGCTTCACCAGGAGGAGGTGGGAGAATAAAAACGGCGGCGAGGAGATCGCGGCCAGAGCAGCTTCAGCATCCACGTATGGCGTCGGAGAGGGCATTGGTGCAGATGGCGCCGCAACCGTTGCATACAGGTGCGAGGGGCCGTACGGGTAGGGCGCCCCATAGGGCGGCGGAGCCGGGTACGCGCCCTGGCCAGGGTACACACCATAGGAGGGATGCGCAGGTGGCGACGAGCCGTACGGCGCCGCGTACAGTGGGTAGCCGCCGTGATTGGCATGGGCGGCATCGGCAATAGTAGGGCCGACTGCGGTGTAGATGGAGGCAGCCGGAGCAGGTGCGATCGCACGCATCGGGTGTGACGCGGTAGGTGGTGGCGGCGCAGGCACAAGGGAGTGCACGGCAGCCGGCGGCGGCGACAGTTGCTGGGACCGGGCCGAAGCAGCAGGCGATGAAGAGGAGACGACAGCGTACAGCGAAGACACCGAGTCGGTGAAGAGAGACCCCGCCGATTAGGTCTGCAGGTGGCCGAGCGATCCGTCCGCCGTGTAGGGCGCAGTCCCGACGTTGAGGAGACGCGCGAGGAACGGCGGGAGGAACAAATGATCCATGTGGACGGGGGCCGGCGGCAGAAGGGCGAGGAAGGAAACCGCGATGCCGGCGGCGCTTGAGGCAGCGGCGGGGGCGGCTAGTGGCGGAGGCGGAGCGGAAGACATTAGATCGTTAGGTCGAATACCATATTAGACAAGGTTTTAGGGTTTTTGGCACACCTCCAAACATGGAGTGACCTTTTCATTATATAGTGATGTACAACATAATTACAAACGGGGCAGTATATACAGAGTCTAACACTGTTTGACTTCAAGTATGTTCGCTATGGTTGCAATGGCTAGTCGCTAGGGAAATAATCTTTTTTGCATGGGGGAAGGATTGTGTATTAATTAACTTAGCTCAAGATTACCCAGTGCACATAGTTTTACGACTCCCTCAGGACCGGACCGTAACCGGACGGACGCCTTAATCTTAACTCTCCCGATCTGAGCTAATTCATGACTAACACGATTATTGCCCCTTTTAGTAGGCTGGATCTTAATTTCTCTCTTCCCTCTCATCATAGTTGTGATCTATCAACCGAGGGGTTGGATATCATTGCAGCAACTTTAGCACTATCCGTTTCAACGATGAACAGAAGTGAGCTCCATTCCAAAGCAAAAGCAATTCCCTCCTTGCACGCCGCGAGTTATGTAGTTAGAGCATTACCGCGTGTGAAGAGATGTCGACACGAGCTGGAAATAATGCTACCAGAGCTGTCTCGTGTCTCGGAGCACCATTCACGTGCCCACATTGCCTGCATGTGCTATGCACCATCCACGTTTAGTGTGAGCCACCCCAGCTTAGACGCTCTCCAGCTCTTAGGCTAGTCATAGTGGAGAGTATATGTTACTAGTCTATATTATTATCTTCATATTGGGTAGTGTCATATATACGGTAATATAGATACCTTCATTTATTACTTTGTAGACTTATTTTGCATTAGAAAGCGTTATATGATGGTAACATATTATGTTACTCTATTTGACCATTTTACCTTTTTCTCGGTCTGCCGTGGTCATCAAAAATGCCATGCGAGATGTGCCTGAGAGCAGCTCAACCACGGCAAAGAGCCATCCGGGCATGTGTGCCGCACCGGCTTAATGTCCCGGAGCATCCAATCTTTAGTCATCGCCCTCCAAAGCTCGACTGCATGAGGGCACTTACACATTGCATGGAATTCATCCTCGCGTTCCAGACCACACAGGGAGCATATGTCAGTGGTTTTCAAGTGATAGGAGAGTTTATTCACCCACGCTTGCAAGAGAATTTGTGACAAGCCGCCAAGCAAATACACGTACCTTTGGGGGACCTGATGGCGCGTCAACCATCCGGTGCCATGGCAATAACCAACAGGCCAAAGATGACGACAAACAATGGCGTGGAGCACAGATAAACTGGCGTGGCTACTAGATGGTCCGTCATCAAAATAATGATTGGAACACCACTTCATGTCCAAGGTGAAAACTACTATTCTGGCCTTCATTCATTGGTTAGGCTCAGCAACGTTGAACTTGCCCTGTTACCTTATCAAAGGTGTTACCTTGTTGCTATTGTGCTAGTCTTCAATGGTTAGTTTTGGCAACAAGAATGAAAATCCTCGTCTTGTTTGTCTTCCACCGGACGTGACCACAGCGATGTGAGAGCGCTTATTTCTTGAAAGAAGTCAGATTAGTCATAGATGTTTGTTCTATACATTTCATAATGACTAAGCCGTGTTTGTCTTTTTCTAACTCTGCTTAATAATTAATAAGAATAATTATGTACATTATGATGATGCAGAGGCAAGAGTTTAACCTTTTTTGTTTGAAAAAAATAGCAGTAGACGCTCGATCCATGTCTGGTTTGTACGACCGGCCGACGACGAACACACGTACGGTAGTGACAAGTACGGTAGTGGGACGATCCTACGCGCCGACAGGACGACAGTGCCAAGACAACGCTAGGCTCCTCAGCTCTCTAGCTCATTCCGGTGGCTGCGTCAGATAAGCACGCCCGGACGTGGCATCCGTCCGGTGCCTCGCCCAACGCGTGTCAATGCGTCAGGGACAGCAAGAGGAGAGGCTTGCATCCGCGTCGTCGCACACGCGCCGTCTCCTGCGCCCGCGACGCGCCTCCTCGCCGGCTATAAAATGGCGACGTCGCTACCTCCTCCATCACCAGCATCAAACAAGCAACCACAAGCACCGCATAAGCTGAAGCGGTAGAGCACACACGCTCCCTTCCAGTTGAGGTCGAAGTAGCTAGCGAGGAGTGAGCGATGGCCTCCGGTCAGCAGGAGAGGTCGCAGCTGGACCGCAAGGCCCGCGAGGGCGAGACCGTCGTCCCCGGCGGTACCGGCGGCACCAACCTCCAGGCGCAGGAGAACCTCGCCGAAGGTACGTAGCAATGCACGTCGACCTTATGTGTTGGTGGCTTCGGCTACTCATGTCGTGTCTACGGTGTTGGCAGGGCGCAGCCGCGGCGGGCAGACGCGCAAGGAGCAGATGGGGGAGGAGGGGTACCGCGAGATGGGGCGCAAGGGCGGGCTGAGCACCAACGACGAGTCCGGCGGCGAGCGCGCCGCCAGGGAGGGCATCGACATCGACGAGTCCAAGTTCAAGACCAAGTCCTAGATGATCCGTTAGCCTAGCAAGCAAGACGACTGCTTAGTTGGTTGGTTTACCTTGCAGGATGAATAATGTAGGTCAGGGATCCTGACGTGTGCACGCATGTAGGAGATCATATGTACTAGATCATGTGTGCTTGGTGGTTAATAGTAGCCGGTAGTCCGTACTAGGTACTGATGGTCAGTCAGAGTCGTGTGTCCGTGTCAGTCGGAAGTGTGGTTGTGGCTCCGGCGGCTGGTCCGGCCTCTCTTCCCACACCAGCTTTCCGCTGTATCCTTGTGTTTCCAGTAATGTAAGTCGTCGTTGCTGAAATCTGAAGCTTTGTAGTGTGCTACTTCTGCTTTGCTAATTGTTGGTGTTCCCGGTTTTTTATTGTTTACCGTAAAACCTCTCCTGAACGAGAACTCTACGTGCCGCATCACCAGCCACCAAACTAGCCAATGCCACCAGTTAGAATGTGAGCATGCAGGAGGTAGTGTTCTGGCAGTAGCAGCGGATAAGGACGGCACTTGAATGCCTAGGCCTAGACATTCATAACGGGCAATATTGCTGCAAGTACAAGACTAATCTTTTGGAAAAAATAAGTCCCTTCTTGAATTTTAGAACTTAGAATTTATTACCCTAGAAAAAAAGGATTATGCAGCACTGTTTTCCAGCACAAGACGGACCTTTTTTTTTCATTTTCTCATGAATGATGCTCCTCTGGAACGGAAGGAGAGGCTTTACCGAAATGCACTTTCCAGGAGAAACAATCTGATCATAAACCATTGTCACGTACCGTATCGTATCCAAAATTACGTTATACAGCCAACTGATAACATCACAAACAAACAACCTGGCACCGTGCACCTACGGTCTACGCGCACTAAGGCACGGCACGGCAGCAGAAGGAAAGAGCCACCGCCTAACGTTTCCATCTTCAGCATTCAGGGAGGCCTTCTTGATGTTGTTGCTGCAGATTTATTCCACTATCTGTGTTGGTGTGTACAAAATGCCTCCTCATCCAAAGCATCCAGCTTGATTTGAGGTCTGTCCGTCCGTCAGTGGCTGGTCGCCAGGGCAGTAACCAGCAGGCCGAACACGAAGAACGGTTGCGCACTCGCCTGCATTAAGCACGATCAGATGGCGGCGGCACGATAAGATGCAGTTTTGGGAGAGGCCGTGGATGCTGACTGGAGAGAAAGAAAAAGAATGCAGGGGGAGACGACGACCGCGCGCACCTGGTATTTGACGTCGTACTTCACGGGGTCCTTCAGGAAGTACTGGAACTGCTCAATGAAATCAAGGATTAGAATGTACACAACGTAAGTGGCAAAGTCAGTGTTTTCTTTTCATGTTTATTACTCTCCCCGTTCACGAATATAACATGTTTTGGATATTTCGATATGGACTACATACGGACTGAAATGAGTGAATAAACAAACTAAAACGTGTCTATATACATCTGATTTAGAAAAAAGTTAGAACATCTAATGGAGTATTTGTGAATGGAGGTGTCTACATACATCCGATTTAGAAAAAAGTTAGAACATCTTATATTTGTGAATGGAGGGAGTAAGTGCTAAAGGACAGTCTGACAAGCCTTGCAGATAAAGCTTTTGTTCATAATATAAGTCATCTAAATGATTTTCACTTATTTCATGTGACCGTGTGAATAGGAAATTCTGGGGGAGTGGGAACATCTGAAATACAATAACGAGAAATAATTATATCCAAGGTCCAAAAAGATTGGTCAGCTCACCTGCAAGATCACCTGGGGAATTGTCAGTCCAACTAGTGCCAGGGCATAATACAGCTTACCAGTGCTCAGGAGGTAGGCTGAAAATGGAGTTACAAGATTAGGGCAAGTTCCCAACATAAATTCAGGATAGATAGATAGATAAATAGATAGCGAATGAACGTAAGTTTCCTCTGCTCCCTAATTTATACTGGTAGATTGTAGTACAATTCAAATTCAGGCACTCTTGTTCGGCCCAACAAAAACAGAAAATAGTTATACTACGGCAAGCTTTGGGTGTAGTTTGCCAACATCTGAAACTTTCTGGTAACGCTGAACATCTTTTTTTCTTCACTAAACACATCTTCTATCGTTATGACTAACACCAACTGCCTTCCAAGGTTCCATGAAAGCTTCCATCATTAGGCTGAAAAGTTGTAGTATGATCTATTCACTTCTCGACATAAAGTACGATCTATTTTCGCAGCTGGCCCATGACATTATGGTATGGTAGGTACTAGGTAGTCGCATAAATCCATGAACTACTCTATTACTCCCTCCGTCCCACAATATAAAAACGTTTTTCAAGCTATGTTAGCTTGAAAAACGTTCTTATATTGTGGGACGAAGGGAGTATATGTTTTTTTGTCAAGTTTGGGTTGCAAACCACGTGTTCCACGTGGCCACTCAATTATATGTTCAGCCAATGGCTTAATAGTAAGCCATGAAGGAAGAAAGAAATGAAAATTTTGTATCTTTACCTGCAACAGATAATTGAGTGATGTCGATTGCTCCAACACATATCCATTTTGCAGTCTCCATACCAAAGGCAACAGGGAGTGACTACAAAAAGGTAAAATGGTAAACAGATATGCTTTGACAATAAACCTACAATATAGGCAAAAAGAATAATAACCTGAAGTCCCAGAGTTCTATCCCCCTCGATACTCTTAAAATCATTCACGATAGCGATCCCTAGCTACAAAGCCAGGAAAAACAGTTAGCGATCATGGTATACAGGATTGCAAACAAGCAATACAGATCATGAAATATAAATACCCCAGCTATGCTGTACAAAGTAGTTAGGACAACAATATCAGGAGTAAGAGTTCCAAATAATGCCTGGCCAGCCCACCTGCACAAAAGATATAAGGATTTTACGGTACCTTAGTAGAGTAACTCTGGTCCTTGAATCCTAATATGGAATTCTCTTCCCTATTATTCCTCATGGTATTTTATACATTTTAACACAAACTAATTAAGTCTCAACAGAATTCACAAATTCCCACCCGACAGCTCGGCACTGAGCTTCAGGCCACACCTGTACTTCTGATGGGAAGTGGAAGTTGCGTCTATGTTGGAGCCAAGTAAATTGGCTCTTGCACATACCGAGTGGTATTGATAAACGTGATTAAATAACTTCGGTAATCAATCAGCAAACTACCAAGTGCGAACTGGTTACGGACTTGCAGTTCCTCAGTCATGGGCTAGGGTTCTGATGTTCGGAAAGTGAGTTTTTTTTTCTTGAGAAGAGGAAAGTGACAGTTGTGCTGGGACTGAATGCAATATGTTACCACTAACGAAAATACAATCCCTTCTACTTGGTATTGTAGTCTGATAAAATCCAAACTAATTTGTCCATTACATTGAAAATGTGATAGACAGTCCACAGTAATTAGTGGTTACCACAAAAAAGCGGGGAAAAAAGATGCATCTTCTTGCATATAGTATAGGTGACATCCAACAGAACATTATCCTCTTATTAAACATGAAAAAAAATATTCACAGCTTTCATCCTACCAGGGCAAGCCAATGTAACTCGCACCAAGAGCAAAGTTTCCTATCCATCCATTCTGCTTGAGCTGAAATGAGGAATAATAAGACATGGACATTTTTTTTATCAGAGTTCACAACAGAGTGTACTATGCTAAAATCGAACACAAGTACTCAAGTACCTTGAGAGGCGGCGCTGAATATATGTAAGAAAGCAAGGATCCACCCAGAGCAAGGTAGAAAATAATAGGAAAATCATGCCCTGCCTGAAATGAAACTAGAGAATAAGCAAAGAAGGAACGTATCTTCAACCTCTTAGTATACTAAAGTAAGTCTTGTTGTGACTTACCCATACGTCTAACAAAGCACCCAACCCAAGACCTGCTAACAATAATACCCAGATCTGAGTAATTACCTGGATCCAATCAACAACATTAGTAAGACATGTCAATTCTCAGTAGACATCTGACATCAGCCTTTAGAGTAAGATCGGACGATCGGAAGCTTGTCATTATAAGAAGCCAATTTTGTTTGAAACGTTCTACAGAAGACTGTAGCAATACATATTCTTCATCATCTCATAAGAAAACAAATCCGCTTGGATAAAAAGGCAATTCGAAAATGGGGTTCCAACCAGTAAAGCACAACAATTTCAAACAAAGTATCGCATCAATCAACTTGCCATCTAGATAATGTCTATAATATTCGGAAGCGGATTTGTAGCACCCGGGCGCTCCACACCCCTATACGAACATTAAATTCAAAAAAATACCAAGAAATTTGAAAAAACAAATCTGAGATTTTGGGATATCAAACCTGGAAATGTATTCGTGGCAAAAAGACAAAAAATTCCTATGTATAGAAAAAATTGTTTGGGCAGATTTTTGTTCGACAGTATTTCCTTCGCCGCGGATATGTTTTCTGGTATTTTTTCATGAAATTTCACACGGGAGTTGATTGAGAACCCAGGTTTGATATCCCCAAATTTCAGATTTTTTTTTATTTTTTGGTATTTTTACATTTAATATTCGTATAGGGATGTGGAGCACCCAGGAGCTCCTGTGTATTTTCCTATAATATTCAAGCTACAATATAAGTGAAACACATGTTAAGCTTCATGCACTATCCAACGCAACCAAAAGTACAAACTGATGGAAAGCACTAGGCAATCCACATATACACTTCAACAACACAGACTCTAATGAGAACAGAACCCATGCGGAAGCAATTATAGGGACATGCCAGTTATGAAGTTTTGATGTTTTGAACCAAAAAAACAAAAATGAGGGAGCGCCCCCAGCCTCTGGATGGATTGATGCACGCAACCATCTTTTATTACACAGTATCTTGCTCAAAAATAATATCAAATGATCCAGCGGTATATTTTAAATGAGATATTGGACTTATGGCACCAAAAATGCATTGTCTATTGTTTATAATGACCTAAAAACATAAAGGCAAAGTCCGTGTGTAGCATTCTACAAATGGTGTAGCATCCTAAGAATTGATGTCTTTTATTCATGCACCATCACTGGATAATAGGGCAGATGAAAAGGGTCAACTTATAACATAAATATGCTTACAATATTTATTGAAAGAAAATAGAAACAAGTACATGTGAAATCGAATAAGAAAAAGGACATATAGACAAAGATAACTAAACATCTTGTAAGCATGTGGTTGTGACAGTAATATATTTGAGAAGTCTGCTTAACAGTTATAGAAGTCCTACATGCATTCTCTAGCATAAACTTTGGAAAGGAAATACTAGGATATTCTACAGTGGTTGTTTTATGAAAAGGAAAGGAGAAACAATATGACACATTGCTGAAAAGATAATGTTTTCATAGTCAAGATAAACTTTGCAATGCATCTATGATGCAGCGTCTGGGGATAACAAAAGCCTCCATTATCTTTTTTTTCCCTCAAAAGATAAGAAATCAACAAGTTCGTTTTATGCATGTAGAATCTACTTACAGAGGCATATTGGATTTTTCCCAAGGATCGATCACATCAAAAATCACCAACACATGGGAGAAGGGCCATTTCATTGCTGAGTGCGTGGCCGAGCTGTGTGAGACATGCGGCAAGCCGGCTCATGCCTCGGGGGAGTGCCCGTTCTTGCGTGACCAGGCTCCGTCGCTGACTGTGTATGGAGTCTACTGTGCTGAGCTTATGTTCTTTGAATCACCGGCTGTGCGAGAGATTCCAGATGAGACCCCGAGCTTGACCACCGGGGTTGTGAAAGCTACCCAGGGAGAGGTGACTGAGGCTCAGATCGTGCGGAGGCTGCAGGAGCTGGCTCCGGGGGACTTTCGGTGGGAGCTGGTGGTTCTCGAGGATAAGGCCTATAAGGTTGATTTTCCCACGGTGGATGACTTGCGGCGGTTGTTGAGCTTTGGTTTGTGTAGAGTTCCTGGCACATCGTGCATTCTGGAGTTCCACGAGTGGAAGAAGGTGGAGCCTAAGGGAAAGCCGCTTACGCAGGTCTGGTTGCGGTTTGTAGGGGCCCCGTCTAAGCCTTTGCAGGATGTTCGAGTTGTGGCCAGTTTGGGTATGTTGGTTGGGAAGACGGAGAGAGTTGATATGGCTTTTACCCGGGCTCATGGGGTGGCCCGGCTTCTAGTCAGTGTTCTGGATATTGAGTTCGTGCCTGATGTGGTCAACTGGACTTATAGGGGAGAGGTGTTCCCGCTCGATATTGAGTTTGAGGACACAGATCTGTTTGCTGATGCGGTTAATGGGAATGATGTTGATATGCATGAGGGTGATGGCGGTGCGGGAGCCAATGGGGCACAGACTGATGAGTCCACATGAGAGGGGTCTAACGGATCTCGCCCAGATGCTCAGTTGCCCGGGGATGGGACCAGGGTTGAGCCGGCAGCATCGCCATCGGTGCCTATGACCTCGTTGCGGTTCGGGTCTTTTGAGCCAGCATCAGCGCCTCCCAGACTTTGGAGTGACCGGGTAGACTCTGATGATATGTTTGAGCGCACGCTTCCTCTTTTGGAGTTTGAGGGGGCTGGCGGTTCTGTGCCTGGACGCTTGGTGAGGGCCTCATCGGCGAGGACTCTGGATGGAGTTGGGGTGGGGGAGCCGGAGGTCGCTTCTCTTTCCCCTCCTCCTCTTGTGGTCGAGGATCCGGTGCGGATTGCTACCTGTGAGCTGGTGTTGGGGGGAGGGGGGTCGGGGCAGGAGGCCTTGACGTCTCTCCTCCATATCCCGACGCCGGCGACGTCGGTCACGTTGGAGTCGGCCAGCGCCAGGGGAGGGAGCCCAAGGCAGGTGGCCTCGGCTCCTGCTACTCCGGTGGTGGCGGCGACACCTACGCCATCTGCTGCGTTGGGGGGAGGGTTGGGGCAGGAGGCCCTGGCTCATCCTTCTTCCCCGGCGGTCTGGAGGACCGCCTCTCCTTCGCCGACAGTTCTTCCGTCTGCACCGGCGGGTGGGGCGGGAGGAGGGCGCGGGCAGGCGGCCCCCGCCATCCCCTCTCCGATCGCACCGGTGGCCGTGGACCCCAGCGTGGGGCACCTGTCTGAGGGGCTTGGGAGCCCGCAGCCGCCTTCTCTGGTAACCTCGGTTGATCCTTTGAGGGACTCAGCGCCAGGTTTTACTAGGGAGGAGGTTGTTGCTTTTGGCGGGATCCCGGACCCCGTCTCGACGGGGAGACGGATGAGTGCTCGCATCCACGAGTTCCCGAAGGTGGATGATATGCAGCAGCGGTGCGCTATGAGGGCGGCCAAGCTGCAGGAGGCTGCATTATCTTCTGGTATGTCCGTCAACATATCTAACTCTTTATTGCATTTTTCTAATGAGAAGATTATAAATAATGCAAACCAATTAGGAGTTTCACTAGGTGCCATGGATAGTGAGATTACTAATTCGGTCAATGATCTGTTAGATTTGGAGGCGGAACGTGTCTTAGAGACTATTCGTAATCTTGCAGCGGTTAAACCAATGAATGATGATGAGATTGATGCGTTAGGGGTTAGAGTGCTCGATAATCTGTGTGCGGATCTAGCACCTCCAAATCATGTGTCTGAGGACGATGATGTACCCATAGAGAATGATGCTGGTAGTTTAAGTGAACCCGGTTATGAGGACCGCGTGTCAGAGCCTAGCAAACCAAAACGTAAGTGGAAACGAAAGATCTATCCTGATTCCGCAGTTCGTAGGAGTGCTAGGATTCGAATCACTAAAAAATTCCATGATGAAATATGAGAAGAATCTTTTGGAATAGCAGAGGTCTGAAGGACTTGGCTAAAAGAAGGTTCCTTACTGAGGCAGCTTTAGAGCAAAAGTTAGATTTTGTTGCTCTATCGGAGACTGGCAGAGAAAACTTTGCGCCCCAGTTTCTTTCCTCTCTTGTGGGTGGTATTGATTTCGATTGGCATTGCCTCCCTCCGCGAGGAAGATCGGGTGGTATCTTACTCGGTGTGAGATGCGATTCGCTTGAAGTACGAAGTGTAGTGATGGGTGACTTCGCGGTGAAGTTTCGAGTCAGGTCTAAGATAGATGGGTTTAACTGGGCTTTGGTGGCGGTTTATGGTGCCGCACAGCCCGAGCTCAAACCGGAGTTTCTGGCAGACCTTGTTCGAATCTGTGGGTCAGAACAGCTTCCAATTTTAGTTGGAGGTGATTTCAATATCATCAGGAGGAGAGAGGAGAAGAACAATGATAACTTTGACGGCAGATGGTCGTTTATGTTCAATACCATTATTGAAAGCTTGGATCTGAGGGAGATTGAGCTTTCTGGTAGAAAGTTTACCTGGGCTGATGCTGCCAAACCCAACTTATGAAAAACTTGATCGAGTTCTTGCGAGCGTGGAGTGGGAACAAAAGTTCCCTCTGGTTACGGTGCAAGCTCTCTCCAGGGGAATATCCGATCACACACCCTTGTTCGTGGACTCAGGGGAGCCGAACCACGTAGGTAACAAGAACACCTTTTCTTTCGAGATGTCATGGTTCGAACGCGAGGGGTTCTTGGACTTGATTGCCAGGGAATGGGAGAGAGGTGCAGGAGGCACGACTGCGATCAAGCGTTGGCAGAATAAGATTAGGCATTTAAGAAGTTCCTTACGGGGTTGGGCTAAGCACCTCAGTGGCTCTGTTTTCAAGGCGTCCCTAAGGCGTCGCCTAGGCGATGCTTAGGCGTCAGGGCGCCCTGCGAGGGCAAGGCGTCCACCTCGCCTTAGGTGGGTGTCTAAGGCGTCCGCCTTAAGCTATAAGGCGTCCGAGGCGTCTGCCTAGGCATCCGAGGCGTTGCCTTAGTCCATTTTGGACGCCTTAGCTTGCCAGGCAGGCAGGGGAGCTGTTTTAGGCGGGAAACTGGAATCATGTTGGCGCCAACAGGTAAGAGGGGAGAAAGAGAGAGAGAGAAACAGCCCCCAATCCACACACTCCTCCCCCTCCTTC